TTCTTAAGATGTTACGATGGTTTAATGTTTTCATTTTTTGTTTTCTTAACCTTATTTCAATCTCAGTCTATCTATTATTTAAAAAGGAAAAAAAAAACTCTGCTGTTTAATTCTTTTTTTCTTTTGTCTTTCGTCGTTGTAAATGTTTATCATACAATTATCACTTTAAAAATATTCGGAACTAGCAATGATTTTATGCGTTAAGGTTGGATGTAGAGTAATTTTATAAAATTTAATTGGAATACAATGACAAAATAAAGACTGTTACCTGATTGATTTTGTTGGATTTTGTTTGTGATGATTTATAATTGATTTTTTTTTTCTAAATACTTAGAAAAACATGATAGTGAAAAACAAAAGTAAAAAATTGGGTAGTTCCCCTTCTTATTTGTTACATACATATATATCATTTACCTTAAATTTTAAATATTATTTAATGTAATACAATTCAAATTTTATGAACATAAAAAATATGTGTAGAGCATCAATATCCTTCAAACAAATTTGCTAAAATAATAAATTAATTTCAAATAAGTTCATGCTAATACGACTCTCATGAAAACTTTTGTTTATTAAACCCGTTACCATTCTTAATATATAATGCTTTTTTTATTGAATCTACTCCCTTTCATTTCATATTATGAAATGATAATAATAATAATAATAATATATTTAAAGTTGGACCTAGCTGCCTCTACAAAAGCTTTGAACTATTTCGTAAGCCGCTTTAATCATTCAAGCTTGTCATAGTAATAACAAAACCCTTAGCACGAAACTACCAAAATATCAGCCATAATCCTCCAATCTCGAATTCACAGAAAAACTTATCAATACCCAAAAATTTAGAATGGAAACTTTTACTTCAGAAGAATTAATGGAGTGAAAAAAAGTTATCAATACCCGAAAACTTACATATAATACCATAAATTCTGAAAGCATTATTCCTCATTCAGAATTAGATCTTAATCTTGATAGATAAATAAATAAATAAATAAAACACCATACATCTAACAAAATTATTTACTAAGCAGATGGTGAAATGAAGCTCTAAATCTAACTTAAGATCAACAACACCAACAAGTCAATAATCATAGTCCATAGCTTACCTCTTTTAGGAGGCTGAAACGCACAATTTCTCAATCAGCTTGTAATGCCTGTTCTCCAAGTACAATTTCTCAATTTAACACTTGCAACATCAATCAAACGGAGAAAAAACATAGACATCTTGTCTCAACATTCCGATATTTTCAGAGTAAGTAAACATTTAACAATAATTACCAGAAAATAACCCCTGGCTGACATATTTCCCTCCGTGAAAAATTTCCTAGTGGCTGCAACTAAACTATTGTAAATTATCAAATACATTGTAAAATAAAGCTACATTTTAGTACATTCAAATTATTCATTTATTCGCCAATAAGAAAATCACTACCAAATATGTTGGCTAAACCACACTCGTTGTTAACATTTACAAGCACACCAACCTACAGTTGCCGTTTGAATCCTTCAGCATTACGAACAAATGTAACAGTACCTATTATTCCCCAGGTTTTCTGTGTGGCACACTCGGCCCATTTAGTGCCAGTAGCCTCTCAATGGTACAATTGTAGACATTTGTTATGATAACCTCCGACTGCAGGAGAAGCAGCACTTCTTCCAATTGCTCCTTCTGAATATAATTTAGATAAAATGACGGTTAGCATAAATACAAATATGTATGAATAATCAAGAATTCTATGGCAGGTACGAAGCTTGGAGAACAGGAAAATTCACAACTTTCTGCTTCTTGAGTTGAGAAAGTAAAAAGAAACAAGTCATCAATCACTTAGAAAATTGATGTACAAATTCCATCATTAGTTTTTGATTCAGTTATATTTGGTTTAACATGTTGATAGGTTCAAGGGAAATGTTTATATTAGGAGAAATAAAAGGGACAGACAGTTATAATTGTCTGTGGGTAGGTTTTATTGTCTCAGACTTTTATAAAGTTTGTGTAGGCAGTTGTTTTTAGCAGTTTTTCATTGTTTTTTGTACATTCTGAAAAAAATAGGAAGAGCAGAGAGTGGGTTTCTCCACATTGGAGGAAACTTGGTATGTTGTTGGAATAAAGATCTGCAGTTTCTAAAAAATCTCATTATAGGTCTGAAAACCTATCACATGTTTATACAGATAATTAGTGCCAAGGCAGCTACGTTGTTAGAACACCACCACCGATGCAAAGAAGCACAACGGATAGAAAGCCACCAAGTATTACTAAAAACGATGTCAAAAGATCTATTGAGTTATGCAGTGGAGAAACAGATAAGTGACAAAATTGAACTAGAAAAGAATTTATCAACAGCAATGGATATCATCGAAGGACTAGGTCATTGCAAAGAGAGATAACCTCAGTCTCCTCAAAAGTACCTACAGAAACACAATACCCTTTACTCGTCCTCCCTAGCGACCAGTGTTATTATCAAGATAACAGAAAATATGGACAACTCCAAAAATTCTTCATGAAAATATTTCTGAAGTCAGAACAGGTTATGGTGGAAGCATAGTAGAAAAAGAAATACAATACATACATACGAATAATAAAAAAAATGCAGAAATATAATTGTATTGGCAAATTATATCTAATTAATGAAAATAATAAAATAATGAAAAATGTATAAATTAATGAAAATATATAAAAAAAAATGCAGAAATATAATTCTTCATGAAAATAATGAAAAATAATGAAAGAAAACTATCTAATTAATAATATTGGCAAATTCAGAAATTCAAATAACAATAAAATCAAATAGAAAAACCCCAAGTTCAAGTTCAAGACTGAAGATAACAACAAACCATAAAACAAATGATCTAAACTTCTAAATTCTAATCATCTGGCTTTTCTTCATTCCCAATCTAAACTATCTTTAATGTTATCAAATGGGGCATATCCCTCCTCTTCCCCCTTCACATCAAGTCTTGAGAAAGTTTGTAATTCTTCAAATTCTTTAAACTCAGAATCAGAGCCAGCAAGATTAAATTCGTGTTGGAGCTGATGTTGCACCTGGATATTTCATGGAAGCATGGGAAGATCCAATAGTAATACCACCACTTGATAGTTGCTTTCTTTTATTGCTTGTTTTCTCCATGTATAAATTATTGGCTCTCCAACACATGAAACTTTATAAACAATTGCCCAATTAAGAGTAGGATCTTCATTATCATTAGCATCATCCACTTGTCCCACTAACCACTCAACAATGTCATACAATATGATCAATTTCATCTCAAATGTTGTATTTTTGAGCAAGTTATTTTATTTATTCTTGATGTAAACCAATCATACAATTGTTTACTGTCACTCCTATTTCTCCTTTTTGAATGAATCTGTGTTTTGAATAAGTAAAATGTGAATCAATTTTATCCCTACTTTCTAAAAAGAAAATTATTAATAAAGAAATGAGTGATGAAGAATAACTATTACTTGCTCAAATACATTCCAATTGCACTCACATCCCAATAAGCTAAATGTCAAGATTAAAATCTTGATTGCTAGCTTTTGCAAGTTTGAAACTGCTTGACCATAATTTTTCCACCATTGAGCTATAAAATAAAAAACAACTTCAAAATTAAACACTATAACGTAAAGCAATTCAGAACACTCACAATAACTTCTATGAAAGTGTTTGAGTTTTTCACCAGGAGTTATGGCTGTCCTATTTTCTTTGGCAAAGTCATCAGTATAGAATCCACTTCAAATGAATGGAGCAAAAAGATCTAACAATCACATTTATCATAGCCTGAAAGCTCTTCAATCTAACAAGGTTAAATGACAAGCATGTTTGGGACCAGAAAGAAGGTCACGTGCCTCATTCATATTAGCTTGTCTTAGTTTCCTTTTTGTATTGCAACAGTTGGATTTCTACTAAACATATCAATCGCCCTTTTTTACCACCACTCTTTCTCCCCTTAACATTACTAGATATAGAAATTTCAACTTCATCTTCACTCTCATTATCACCATCAGCCGCATTATTTATAGGATTTATACAGGTGACTTCTTTATCACTAAATAACTTCTAAAGGTCTTCTTTCACTTTTGTTGGAATCTTGGTGCAAGATGTGAAATTGTCCTTTGTCACGTTATTTGGATCTAGTAATTCCCTCTTTCATAATTTTTTTCACAATAATTATCAGGAATATCAAAATATCAAATAAGAAAAAATATCAGCAACCCCAAGAATCCTTCATGAAAATATATTAGAAGCCGCAATGGGTTATGACGGAAACAAGGCAAACAAAAATAAAATACAGTATATGCACATAAATAACTAAAAATGTAGAAATATAATTGTAATTCAAAAATAATGGAAAATAGTCATATAATTAATGAAAATTGCAACTCTAGAAATTCAAATAACAACACGATCAAATAAAAATACCACCAAGTTCAAAACTAAAAATAGGTGATAAGGTGTTAAAGCGGTCGAAAAGAGGAAGAAAAAAATAATTTGGAGAGGACAGGTGGTGCTGAACAAAGGGCAAATAGAAAGGAAAAAAACGGACTTTGTTGTTATACAGTTGGGGCAGGACAATGGCTATATTGTGGCCCAATAGCGGGTGGAACAATATGTCCACATAAATCTTACTAGGATAGGTTCTAACCTGGCTCTGATACCATGTTAAAGAGTAGACTTTAAGCCTAACTCAACCCCACAAAACAGGCTTTTAAGGTGAGGTTTGCACCTACTTATATACTATGAATTGGCCTTATCTCTAGTCGATGTGGGACTTCCAACACAAATAGTAACATCAGGATTTCCTTAATCTGAAACACCAATTTACATCCTAAGTGTTCTTGTGAGGTGGAAGTGAAACAAGAGACCAACTGCTATTATGTAGAGCAAAGATTTTGTCCTTCATAACATAAAATGATTACGAATCTTGACAAGCTTGTTTCGTTGTGGTAGATTCTAAGTAGGCAAGAAGAAGGATAGGATGAACACAAGTTTGTAAAGTACCAACTTTGGATCTAGTTTGCATAAGATGAATGTTTAAAGGTTCGATGATTGACTAGGTTATGTATTAGATGTAAAGTGATGTGGACATCATTGAGGGAGAAAAGGCGGTTGAGGAAGGTTATGAGGATGGAACATATGAGATTTATAAAGGTGTAATGGTAGGTATAGGAGATGAGGATGGAGCTTATGAGACCTAAACAGGTGTGATGTTAGGTATAGCTATTTGGGATGGTGAGACTATGGGTATATTAGAAGAAGCAAGAGGGAAGACTGATATTGTAGTTAATTGGGTAGAGAGAAATTTTTCAGTATAAGGAAACTTGTTTTCATTGAAAGTAAAATCTTTAGATATATTTGGGTGGATGTGGGTTGTTATCATGTTCTCTCCTTTTAATCATAAGTCTATTGTTTGAGGAGGCACTTAACAGATACATTTTGATAACGAAAATAAAGTTTATATGAACTGTATGGTTTAAAAAAGGGAAAGCGAGCACATCCAAAAAGTCTGAGAAAACCATAGCCAAGTGCTATCCCGAAAAGAAGTGTATATGGTACACCAAAATTTACAGAAGCAGAAAGTATTTTGTAGATGAGATACATTGTTGTAAGAAAGGGAAGGTCCCAATAGGTCATAGTAAGAGAAGCTTGATTGAGAAGTGTAAGGCCCATTTCAACATTGTGATGACGTTTCCTTTCAATTGTGCCATTCTAATGACATGTAAGAGAAATATAGTTCTGAGATTATAAGAAGTGGGATAATCATGAGAAGGGCAAAATTCACCACTGCAATCAGTTTGCACTGCCTTTATTTGTGTCAAATTGCAATTCAACCATGGATTGCAATTGTTGGATAACGAACAATGCATCCACTTTGCATTTTAGAAGAATTACCCAAGTAAATATCAAATAAGCATCCACAAAGAAAATATAGTAAGAATAGTTATTAGTAGATGACACAGGTGAAGGACCCCACAAATCACTAAGAATTAATTCAAAATGAGAATTATAAGAAGTGACAGAATGACGAGAACGAAGTCTGTGATTTGCCCATACAACAAGCTGAAAATAAAAGGTAAACTACTTTTATTATTGAAAGATACATTAAAAGACTGAAAGATAAGACAAAGTACATTGAAATTGGGATGTCCTAATCGTAAATGCCAATATGAGCATTACAATTGAAAGTATTATTAGAAGCAAGCAATAGTGTTTAGACTTGGAACAGGAAAACTAGAAGGTTGTTGTTGTGTATGAGAGGCATGAAGCAGGCTTGGAAACTAATTCAGGCCATCGAGTCCAACTTGTCCATGAAGAACTTCATTAGATGCATGGCATTTGACAAAACGATGATTAGGATCAAACTCAAAATACACATTGTTGGCTGAAGACTTGTCACAGATGACAAGAGGATCCAAGACACATGTCAACCACAACATGATAGCAGTTGCAACAGTGGACAGAGTTGCAATTAAGGATTCAAGAAGCTCTGCCCTTCAGTGGTCAGTTTTCTGCAGGCTGAGGCTTTTGAGCCTGAACCCACACATTAGACCATTCCAATTTGCATGACCAAAGTTGTGCACAAGCTCATGTTGAAGCACAAACAGCTGTGCAAAGATTATGCATAAATATTCAGAGTCTTGCATGTTACAACATGCCCAGCCATGCATATTTAATGTACAGCTCAATAGAGACACCTGAAAGATTGAACAGAAAGAAATACAAGCTGTGTCAAGAAGTTTCATACAATGCTACACCACTGATTCTGGCGTCAATTTGAAAAGGCCGTAAGCAATGAGCTGCCAACTTGGAATGGATCATTTTCTTGCAACAAATTGCTGGCTATAGAGCCTTAGCATCAAATAAACCCACTCTCCTTGTGCAAACGTGTCCTCAACCAAACCATCTCTTACAAATACCTCAGTCACCAACATGAATAGTGTGCTTCTAGTTGCACATTGTGTTCTGGTAAACAATGTCGTACCAATACTCTGCTCGAAGTGAAGGATTTACCACTGTTTCAACCAGTCAACTGCAGAACACCTCAACTCAAGCACTCCAAATCCTTGTCAAGACCTTCATTTATTCATCCATCAGAAGTTGATAAGCAGAGCTCCTTGTCAGAGTTGTCACTGCAAGCGGATAGTATTTTACAACAATTTGATAACAAATGTGGGATCCCGGACCCTGACCACTTAAAATGGAACTTGGAACCCCCAGCAAGTCTAACAATTTCTTTAGCAAGTAACTCAGCTATTTCTGCAGAGTAAATGGGTTCTGGAGGGACAAAATGCCCATTGCTTGAGTACCTGTTGACATTGACAACCACCAAACCCCCTCTGTCTAGGCAACCCCCTATCAAATACATCTCATCTCTAATTAGGGATAATAGAAACCAGATACAGAAAGGGAAACTGGACCAAAATGTATACGGAAATACTCCTAATACTCAAAGAAAGAAGTCTTGTACAGGATTTAAGCAGATACTACAACTAACACAATACAATGGAGCTGAGCTCCTCGTGAGATGGAAAATATACAATATGACCACGGAAATGGTGAGTTTGCAGGTGATTTGGAAGGTCACTAATCCTAAGTGGATGGTTTATAGCAACTAAATTTCAATGCAAGTTAAGCATTTGATTAAAATTTAGCAAGCAAAAGTTCCAAACAGCACATGCATTATGTTAAATGTCACTGCCCACTTTCATTTAAAAAAAATATAGTATATAATTATATATAATAATTCACAAATCAGCAGCAGCACATAAAATGGGTCCACTAATCAACCCAAAATCTACTTTAGTATTCAGGTTCAACATTTAGCAAGAGTTTGAAATGCAGCCACTGACAATGATTTCACTGGAAGTACATTGTGTGGAATAAAATGCCAACACTCACCTGAAGCATAACTGATAAGAGCTATCATCAACATTTCAGTTGAAATCTGAATTTCAGCTGTTTGACTTCTGAGCACAAGTGGCACTTTTTCCCGAACTTGAAACTTCATGATGTCCAAAGACAGGCAGAATGTCAAATTTAATACAGATGACTTCCCCTTTTACTTTCTAACCAGTCTTGATAGAAATTAAATGCTCTAACTGGTTCCTTCATTTTGCAGTACTTGTTAAATAGAATCTGCACTGGAACATGATCATTCAATAAACCAGATTTTAGTATTTTGGCATATAGCTCCTCTGCCTCTTTCATCTTACCTCTAATACAGAACACCCTAACAATTTCAGTGTAAGTTATTAAATCTGGTTCATACCCTCTCTGCACCATCTCATCATGTAATTGAAGAACAAAATCAGGACGTCCTAAATTACAGGCGGCACCTATCAATAAATTATAGGTAACAACATCAGGAAAAATATCCTTTGAGAGCATTTCTTCCTTCAGAGTGCAAGCACCATTGAAATTGTCACTCTTCACTTGTGCAAGAATTAAAGCATTGTAAGTAAATACATTTGGGTGAACACCAAAAGCTAGCATCTGATTTCTTGTAAAAAGTGCATTGCTAAGATCATCATATCGTCCGTAGAAGTCAATTAGTAGGTTCCATATTAAAGGCTTCGGCACTATTAAATTGTTCAACATAGACCAAAGCAAGCTTTTTGCTCTAGCAATCTCTCCATCAAAACAAAGGCCTCGAATCACAAGCTGGTATGTAATTTGATCGGGCATAATTCCCATACTAGACATGACTCCAAGGGTATAGCAAGCCTCACTAGTTTTACCTTCCTTGCAAAGAGCACCAATAAGAATATTATACGTAAAAACATCAGGAAGTAAACCTTTCTTATACATCTCGCATGTATATCCATATGCAAGGTTCATTTGTAGACTCTTGCAAAAGCCATGGATAAGAACATTATAAGCTACAACATCAACTTTAGTACAATTTTGAACCATCTGATTCCAAAGACTAAGAGCCTGAAAAATTGCTCCTTTCTTAAAGTAGTTATCCATAAATATAGTAGAGGTTACTAAATTAGTTATATATTTCTCGTCATCATCCTTCAATATTTCTTCGAGCATCCTTTTAGCTCCCTTTAGAAGACCTTTCTCACACAGAGCACGCACCAGTATACTACAAGTAACCCTGTTTGGCAGAACCCTAGCATTGGACATGGTGGAGAACAGAGACAAAGCCCTGTCCAGGTCATTAACAGTGCAATAGCCCTTAATCAAAGTGTTATAAGTCGCACAATTGGGACCAGGACCAATTTCTAACATCTCTCCAACAATCCAATCTGCTTTCTCCAGAAAACCAATTTTGCACAGCCCGTTAACAATATGGTTGTGGGTAAACACATCAGGAACAACACCTTTCATAACCATTTTCCTCCGAAGACAAAGAGCTGCTCCCAACTTCCTGTCCAAGCACAAACTCCTAATAGTAGCTGTATGTTCAGCATACTTGAATTCACAAGCATATCCCATAGTTAGACCTATCTTTACCAAACATATATTTTCCCTGCAACATTATACGTGATAACCAAAAAAGTCAATCACATTGGAATCCCTTGTATCTTTATCCTAACATATAGAGATATACATATATGGGGATGTAGCTAACAAGAAAGCCATTTTAACATGAAGAGAACAAATCTGGGTCAAACAACCATACATCGATGTTAAGATTAGAAGTTCTTTAAAATCACAGAATATAGGTCCTTCGAGAAAGGTCGTGTGAACTCTTAAAATGATTTTCACTTAATTATTTTCTTTTTCGTTTTTCTCTTCTCTCAAGACTGAACCGTTTACTCCAAGACACTTATTCAGCTAGTTGTTCATCCAATCACATAAATAATCTTTCATTGATGGTAAGATCTAAAACACAACCGCATAACATACATACATGCATTGCATGATACTGTGATTCAATTCAACCTACAAATTACTTTAAACTTCATTCTTCGAATTCGATAATAATCGAAACTAACCTCATCATCTTCAGCCGCTCTAAACTATCCTTAAGCATAGTATCCAGCACATTGAAAACGGCGTGCCGTCCATTCTCGTCCGCGCCGAAACTCCTGTCGTTCGACGAAGAATCTCTCGCGTACACATCACACTTTTTCTCAATTGCCACGTCCACGACACAGCAAATCCTGCAACCAACCACGGAACAACGCTGTTGAGGTCAGAAGTTTGAAAGAAAGAAAGAGACGCGATGCAAATAAATGGAGTGAGAGAGAGGAAATAGATGCCTGTGGTGTGAGACGGCGTCGTTTAGGGAGCGGAAAATGTGAGCGATGAGGTTCCGTTTGACGTAGAGAAAGGTGCTGTTGAAGAATCGTAGCAGAGGAGGTTCTCCGGTGGCGGCGAAGAAAATTGCGGTTTCCGCCATCGTTTCGGTTTTACTCGATTGAAGTTGAAGACATTTGGATCGGGAGAGTTGAAAAGGAGAGGAATATGGAGAAACTGCTGTTATCTCTGCTTCTGTATTGTGTTGGTGGCTGCAGAGTGTAGCCTGTTGGAAGAGGATGCACAGCACCGGAAATGAACAAATTATTTAATTTTTACTTTACTCATTCAACTATTTAAAATTAAATAGTTTAAAACTTTTCTTTTTTTTAAGAAAATCTTTTTGTTTTATGTAAATCTAATTTTCTCTAAAAACGTTGCTTTTTCTTCTAAATTTCGATTCAGTTTCCAATCTTTTAACACTAAGAGTAATGAGTTTTCTCCTGCATACAAACTCATCTTTTGTTCATGTCAGTGTCTATTTTTGTTGTTAGTGAATCCCTCCTTATTTATGATTTAAAATTTTGCCTTCTTGATTAAGTCTCAGTTTGTAAATAGAGTGATTTTTTTAGAAAGATAGCAGATTTAGACAAACTATATAAAGTATGGGAAGCTAATTTCATTTTTTAAATATAATGTTTAATTTTTGGAAGCATAGTGTTGTGTTTGAATGTCGTTACAAAATGAGAATTTCATAAGAGAAGTAGAAGTTTAATGTATGATGATATATATACGAGTGATATTTTACTTTGTCTAAAGAAAGTTAAGAATTTGTGAAAGGAAGAGGTTTTTTGGGTCTCTAGTATGAAGTTCCCAAAGTGGGATGAAACTACCGATTTGGATATATTACATTATGAAATTGGTATATGTTTATTCATGTTTGATGTTTTTAAGTTATCAAAATTGGTATGAAAGTAAGTGATTAAGAGTCATATGAGAGAAAATTTATTGATTGAATGTGATTTATGTGATTTCATTGTTATAAGTGTGAAATAAGTTTTTCATGTTAAGCATTCAAAGTTAGAATATGAAAAAACTAATGATTATAACACTTTTATAAATAAATGTTTAATTTAAAAATATAAATTTATACCTTTTCAATATATATATATATATATATATGCTCATTACATGTAAGAATTCTCAATTTACAGTGTTATATTGAATAAATTTCATGAAAATGTTTCGTAACAAGGTGAAAATATACTCACGTATACATTGTAATTATTTTTTTAAAACAACACCACCTCTTTGTGCTTCCTCTTTTGCTTGAACCAAGGACTTCGTTCATGAGTGCGAGGAAGAACAAAGGTAAGTTATGTGTAATTTCCCTTAATAAAGGTAAGTTATCTTCTAAATAATTCAACATCTTCAAGATATATTTGATTATTATTCAAATCTAAAAAGATTTAAGAAGATTTTGCGAGATTCAAAAAGATTTGACAAATATTTTCTTTTGATATTTACTAATATGGTTAAATAAGGTAATTATTTAAAAATATAAAATAAAATGCATAAAAGATATATTTTTCCCAAAAAAAAATTTATCATAAACATTTGAGATTTCAATGGTGTAGTATAAATGGTGTTTTTTGAGCTTTGGGACAAAAACTCAATCTCTATGCAACATAACATTCACCATCACCACAAAAATCATCATCCTTCCATGTATTCACTATATTCCAACATTTAAAATCATATAATCACCGATAAAACTTTCATTTACAATCATGACCTTTTTGTCTAGCTATCATATGATTGCTTAATGAGTTCCTTTTTTGTTCAACGTGTTACCTATGAAGGCAAACTCGCTCAATAAGAAGGTGGCTCACTCAACGAGCCATGGGACTAAACTCATTGAAATTTGCATAACGAGATCAAGCTCCCTCAATAACCAAACCTCCCATGTCGCTCTACCCTTTCCCAAAATGGTTTCCGCCCAGTAATCATTTATCTTGCTCAACAACTTAGACCTTAAGAGCTGGTTTAATCAAATTTGCCCAACAAGCTCTGACTCGTCTATCGAGTGAAAGAATTTGGAACTCTCTCTGATTTTAATATTTCACTATTGATTAGCAAGGGTTTGCATCACCTAACAAGTTTGCATAAAATTAAAAATAAAAATACATTCTAAATTAGTCAATTTAGTCCCTTTAAGTTTCTTAACGTTTCTTAGTTCATAAAATCACAACTATAAGTTGAAATTACCTTAAATGGACCAATTTGCTCAATAAAAGACATCTAAAATAGCTTATTAATCATAATTTATAGGAACCACACAAATTACAATCAATTCAACCAATAATAGTTTACCACAACTCATATTAAATTTTAGATCAGTCAAAATCATAAACAATTTAGTTATACTATTTCAATAGAAATCAATGTTCACATCAATCCAATCCAACATAAACATGTATAAAATAGCACTAGGTTCTCTTACCCAAATAGACACTCCTGAACTCAAAAAGTGATTCACATAGGTTCAAATATCAAATTTTCCATTGACTCTCACATAGGTAGCTCTACTTGTAGATGGAAAAACTTTGATAAATTATCAAAACATATCTCCTAACAATCTTGATCAAACATAGATTAATCTTAAACCGTTTAACGCCACAAGCTCAAACACTTCACATGAAACACATTTTCTAAAATATTGAAAAGAAAAAAAAAATTAACTTACTCTATTTTGAAAAATCTAATCAAATAGAATTGTAATAATCAATGTCATTCCTCATAATATTAAAAACAAGCCAGAGGAAAAAAAATTAGAGAGATAAAATCTTTATAAAATTAAATTTAATTAACTAATTATAATAATAATCTCATAGATCTATAACCTTTGTTAGAAAAGTGTCTACATTTCTTTGTAGGTTTAAATTTTTTTACCGAAACTCTTTTGATAACCTACACAGATAATAAAGATCTAAGACTTCCAATATAATTGTCACAACATAATTCAAGCATCAGAGATATTAAAAAATCGTCACGACAAATCTAACTACGGAACATCTTTAAAATTTCTGCAATTTTATAAATGAATATAAAACCTCAATCATTAGGTAGTTTTTTTTATAGTGTACCTTTTATTAATATTAATAAAAAAATAAAATTAACATTAAAGGAAAATTAGTCATAAATAAAATTCTAACTAAAATTAATTAATAAATATTTTTTATTTATAATGTTCAAAAAATAATTTTAATTAATTAAAAATAATCTTAACTTAGATTAATTGAAAATAAATTCAGTTCACACCAAACGGATATAATTAATAAAAAAGTTAATCTTAATAACATTGGTTGGAAACAACTCTAATCTAACATTAATAATAAAATAATTTCCATAATATCAGTAAAATAAATAAATATCACAAACTTTTTGTGTGAAAAAAATATGTCAATATTTATTAAAGATTGTATTAATATATTCAAATTTTAATATCTATATGTATTGATTTTAGTGTTATGTCAAACCAACGAAAATCAAAATCAAAGAAGAGAATAAAAAAAAAAGACAAATTTGGAATTTTACCTTTCAATTGAAATTTAAAATCATATAGTTCTAAATCATTTAATTAATCTCGTAAATTCTATATTTAAACAACAGAGTTTACGATAAAGGATTTTCAATTTCTCTATTAAAATAAATTGTTCTCTTCAATTTTTTGTTATCCAAATACAGTATATTAATCAATTCAACATTCTTTTAAAAATCATTCTGAAATCAAATTTATTTTATTTTGAATTCTTCATTTCATAACGAGTATGATTTTATCTCTTTCAAATATACATCTCTCTATTAAAATATTACGGGAAAAATAAGGAAGACTTAATAAATATATTCTCTTATCTATAAATAATCATTATAAAATTAATTTTTAATTATTGTAATTACTGATTTCAAAATAACCTACATAATGATTTACCCTTACCATCGAATTATGAAATAATTTTTGCATAACAGTTGCTTTAGTATAATTTCTGATAGATTGAATCACTAAACAATGCCCAGCAATGCTTTTGCAGTTTGGGATGACAAGTTCAAATTAATTAAAGTTGAAAAGAAATTAAGGTTTACAGTCCTTAAAACAGTAATTAATATTATCTAAAATTTAAAAAAGAATAGATAAATGTATAAGAAAAGTTCTCAAACAACAAAAATTAAACAACTTCATATTATTCATATTATCAGTACCATGATATCATCTGATACACACATAATATATATATATATATATATATATATATATATATATATATATATTAATATAATATGGGTTCATATGTTTTTAATCCCTCAACTTTGGCCGTTTCTCGTTTCGTCCCTATTTCAAGAACGGTGGGGCAATTTGATTTCATTCTTTTCGAAACGTTTTCGTTTTAGTCCTCGAAAACTAAACACTGTTTAAAAATTTGGTCCTCATTTAGCAACAAATGAGGACTAAAACCAAAATTCCGATGACTAAAACGAACGTTTCGAAAAGAATGAGGACCAAATTGTACCTTACTATGAAAGAGGGACGAAAACCAGAAACGACCAATAGTTTAGGGACAAAAAAACATATTTAACCCTATGTATATATATATATGTCACCCTAAAACATCAATTTCAGATCTAGGGTTTCTGGTGCAAGATATTGCAATTTCCTCATCAGCCATGTTTGGTTTCTTTAGCAATTTCAACAATTTTTTCACTGGAAGGATCTGGAAGTTCATTAGTAGCATCATCACTCAAGGTGGTTGTGCAGTTGTATCAACTTTATCATCTGTTTTGGAGCTTTTTCAGAAACATAGCAACCATCTTTTCTAGCACCTCATTATCCATTGTACAACAGCATTGTCGAAAAATTCATTACTTACCATAGATATCCACATCATCTGCAGGATGCAAAAGGTACATAATCACCAGCCTCATGCTTCTTGCATTCTCAGCCAATGTGTGGTGAGCAATTAGGGTTTCTGAAACTAAAAAAACATTTATAGGAGATATAAGTGCAACTTCCACGTAAACTGAATTAATCTACCAGTTGTATTCTTACTAGACAGATTGATGAACACACTAGTGCAACTACTTTCTGGGTAATGTAAGATGTATTAACTTTTACGGTTTGAATGAATGAATCAAAGTATTTTCTCCCTTTCATCACCATTTCAGAACACTCGTCACAACTATTCAAAGTCACATCCACTTTTGTTGAGTGTTATGTGTGACCATTGCAGCATAGACTATTGCGCTGCCAAAACGGTATTTTGTG